AAGACCCCCAACGAGATGGATCAGCCAGGTGGCATCACTGATGGTGTCAAGTGTGACAGCGGTAGTAAGGTTGGCCCAGGATCGGACATTGTTTCCATCTGCTGTGCATGGGGTCGCTATGAGTTGGTTCCGACTCGATAGCACCTGACAACAACAACAACAAAGTTCAAACACCTGCCTGGGAGCCTGTTGGTTTCAGTGAAATGCGGCGTCCTTACTTCCCTACCACGTGACCTGAGGTACCGTGACCACACGTGCTTTCCCAGCTGCTGGAAGCGATCTTGTACTAGGGGAGCCGGCCTTAGACGACTCCCGGAAGGCAGAGGAAAGTAACCAGGTCTCTGGTGATTCAAAAATGTTGTACCAGCGCCACCTGTTGGATGCCCCTTCAGACCAAGCTTGCCTCTGGTCGCAGCCTTACGGGCTCCAGTGCTAGGCTGGTTTCCTGTACTCCCCGGGCTTCGCAAGACTAGGCTAGCTCCTTCCGGGTCCTGTAATCGGTCTATTTTCTTCTGCTCCACTAGCGCCCTCTAGAGGGGCTGGGAGAGCAGCTGTCTTCTGATACTGAAGATTACGTAGTACACACCAGCCGTTCCAGAGCAGAGCTGGTGTGGTGGGCCTCCTCCACAGCTACGCTAGTCACCAAGAGTGATGACGACACAGCTGAATAATCTCCAAAGAAGCGAGGGCTGGAAGGTGGTCAGAGGCAGGCCCCTCAACCGGCTCAGGTTTGTTTTCATACTTACTTTGAAATGATGACCACCACACAGGTGGACCTCCTTTTCCCTTAGACGGAGCTCGAGGCGCCATTCTGTGCAGCTCGCTATTGGGCAGACCCCGGCCCAAATTCTTCCTACTCTAATCCTGGTAGACCCTCCCTCCCAGGTGGTGGTGTGAAGCTGGGGGTACGGGAGCTCTGCTGGGGGCGGCGGGAGGCGGGAGCTCAGATCAGGCCGCCTTCATCAACAGTGGGAGAAAGGTGGTCTCTTCTGGTAGTTTAGAGCAGGGCCCTGTGGCAAGAGTAGCCCTTGGCACACACTCAGACTCGTCTTGTTATAATCTGCAGAGGGAGGCTGTGGAGATTTAAATATGACCCAAAAAATAACCGGGAAAGCTAGTATTTTGAATTGGCTTTATTTAAATTTTTACAGAAACCTGATTATAGTTAAGTAATTGTAACCCCTGTAACAATCTCTACAAAAAAGCACATACAATGCCAAAATTATTTAAAAGCAACTAATATATCCTTGTGTTGCATAAAACATGCATTAATATAAACTGCCACGTCTTGACCCAAATCAGTCTCCACAAGAAGAGAAGGTCCAATACAATTGGTTAAGAAAACTAGTTGTGAACAACAGGTAAAAAGTGTTTCTGGTTCATGTCAGACAGGCCGGCACCTTTCATATAAACAAGCCCCCTTCAGCACTGGGTGGTTTGTGGGCCTGTGGTGCCTAGTAGCAAAAGCACCTCCAAGACTTGGTCCTTTCCTGTCAGAGGAAGTAAGGAGCTTTCTGGTAGGTAAGTCAGGTATTTGAGAAGGTAAAAACTTATAGGCCACAGTGTGACACAAATAGTGCAACCTTGTGGAAGGGGTACACAAGTAATCGCAAAGACCCTGAGCTTTTTATTGCAGCCTTCACTACAAGGCCAGCTCAGGGCACCCCAGCATCTCCCGGCTCCCGTGAGCACTCGGAGAGGAACTGCCACCAGGTTTAACACACAGAGCAACAGGTGTGCCATTCTCTTCTGGCCTTGGCTTTTCAGAGACCTAGTTCATCCCACCCAGGGACAGGGGGGCACTCAGATACATGACTGGCAGACACACGCAGTTAGATTAAAATACACATGTGCCCATTTGCCTATTGTAAATTTACCTACGGTACAGAGGGAGCGCAGCTGAGAGCTCTGAATATATCCAAAGGTGTTTCCCACACAGACTGAGCCGCTTTTGAGATTTCATTCTGTGAGGAGCGTCGAGCGAAGCTCTGTCATTAGGGAAACCAGCTGTGGACACTGACGCTTATGTACAGAAAACTCATTCATGTGGCCTGTCTCCCAAGATGAGGCAGTGACTGTCCTGCCCACCACGTGTCAGCTGAGTCAGGACTGCTGATGCTTCAGCACAATCATGGGGACACATCATTTGTTTGGGTTTTAGTAATGTTTTCCTAACAGAACAATATCAAAATAGGTCCGCTTTTAATATATGCTTATGAATATATCCCTGATAATATAAAGACATCGAAAGGACTTTGTAAACCACCCAGGTTTCACAGGGCTGGGATGCGGACAGGGACCAGTGTGGTGGCAGAGTTCCTCCAGGAAGGACTGTGAGAATGATGCACTAAAGTTCAAATGTTCTAGTGCCAGTAGATGGGAATGAACATTTCACTTTAAATTTATTAGTAAGAGTTATAACAAAGGCTGCTTCCTTGACCCTGCCATGACCCCAACTCCCTGCCTGCGACAGACAGCAGGCCAAAAGCCATCTGTCCCAGCCACCCCAGGGGCTATGATCGGAAGACACCACTTCTGTGGTCCCCTCTAAGCCATGGCCAACTCTCAAAAAAGTAGGTATGTGACAGAAATAAAGGACCAGGCTCGAGGAAGCTTTGAACCAAGGCACCATGATCACAGGGTAAGGGGACCTACAAGGTTCTGCCCAGTCTGAAGAGAACCTTCTGCGATGCCCCCCAGGGCCACTCCTGGGATACAATGGCTCTGTGCCTAAGTAGACACATTAGGGAGCTACAGAACAAATCTTTACTAAAGAAACCAACTTGCTTTCTGAGAACCAAACTAAACTTCTTAAAACTAGAAAGCAAAGCACCCTGGGTATGTCAGGTGGGGGACTGATGTCTGTGGAATGAACTGGCCTGCCTGGAGTTCCGTCCTAACGATGAACGCTGGTTGGGGACACTCCGTGGCTACTGCAGGTGAGAAGGAGACTGAGGGAAGCACACGGCTAGAGGAGGAAAAGGGGACCATTGTGAAAGATGCTTCCTTTATTCCTGGAAGAGCAAGAGGCATTGCCGTTGGCCTGAGTGAGAAGGCTCCATCTTGTCTTCTAGCTACAGTAATACTGCATCCCGTCCACTCTTCTTCTCTTTTTTGACTGAAACTCTTCAAAGAACTGCTGAATGTCCTCTCTCTTAACAACCTATTGATAAAAAGCAAAGATTAGGGACTCGGAAATGGAACTAAATGATAAGAACCACTCAGTGAAGGGCCCTCTCACCCTCATAGCAACGTAATCATCAAAGACTGAAGCTGTCAGGAATTTCACAGGCTTGGATCCACAATCAACGCTTGTGGAAGCCGCGGTCAAGAAATCAAATGACATAACTGCACTGACAAGACCTCTTTAAAGACACCTTAAAAAAGCAAAAATGTCAGTTTGAGGACTTACTAAGCTGACAGGCATGTGAAAGTTTTACTACAAATGTTAATGGTGTTGGCGAAGACAACTGAATCTACTGTGGCCTGCCAGAAGGATGAACCAATCGATCTTGGAGGAAGTGCAACCAGAATGTGCCTTAGAACCAAGGAAGGCCAACCCCATACTGTGGCCAGATTCTCAGAAGGGCCCAGTCCCTGGAGGACATCAGGCTTGGTAATGTGGAGGGCGGTCAGGGCAAAGGAGAAAGAAACCCAACGAGATGGAATGACACAACGGCTGCAAGAAAGGGCTGTGAGAACGGCACAGGGTCAGGGGTGGTAAGTATGTCAACATGTGACTAGGTGTAGTCACCATTGTATACAAGCAATCACTAAGGCTCATAGAGTCTGACCTGTTCAGAGTCACACAGCCAGGCAGAACCGTGTAATGCTTAGAGCTCAATTTCCACCATCACCTCTGCTTCCTCAAAGATGGAGACCACACTAGCGCATGTCTACTGGTGTCATCTGAAGGTCAGACGGTTATGTTACCCACAGAGCACTGCCAGGCCCACAGCCAGTCCTCAATAGATAGGAGCTGAGAAGACAAGTAGCTGAGCCGGTGTCAAGGACTGAATTGTGTCCCCCAAATACATGTCCCAGTGGCTGGGCCATGCCTCTCAGCGGTTGGACCGGGCTGTACTGATTCCCCATGATGTGATCTGAAGGGATGGAGCAACGAGAGGAGTAGGGTGGGATGTCCCACCCTAAACCCTTCCACAGCCCTGCTTGATGAAGGACACGAAGGGCAGTTCTGCTGCAACACTGGACAGAGAAGCCAGCAGAGCACAGAGGGACCTCCTGCCGGAAGTGGAGAGCACCTTGACCCCGGGGGGACCCTCCCGGGATGTCCCTCAGTGCTGCCCACCCCCCCTTTCTAAATAGTTCTGCGTTAAACACTCCAAACAATGTTCTTTAAGTTGCACAGACAGTTTTTTTTTCATCTGAGGAAAGAGTTTATTCAAACATCTAGGGCTAAGAACAAACTCCTTAACACAACATACCGTGCCTTCATCAGCAAATCTCTTGAGATAGTCTTTCAGTTCAGTCTTCAAGTCATTGTACTCTAAATCAAAACAACCAAACAAGCACTTAGACTCCAGGCAGGCCATTTGCTTTGAAAAACAAAACCAGTGATTTACCACTGACATTGGAGTAGGTCAAAAGTGTCCGTCAAAGTCTTCTGAAGTGAAACCTACACAGAAACTTGTTCCGATTTCCCCCAAATTCTCTTTTATTCTGATCCCTATGATTCTTTTTTTTTTTTTAAAAGGAAGGGGATCCAGGGGGCAGAAAATATATCCTTACTCACAATAATGCATTTTTAAAGTGTTTCCTACTTCTATGGAATTCTACTACTTGAAATAACCTCAGATGAGTCAAACATTAGGTTTGCAAACTCACTCATTCAACGGTGGTGGTTGTGTGCCAAGGACTCAGTCTCGACCCCTAACAACCCTGGATAGGGTTTTACGGGAGCAGAAAGTCTCATCATTCACTTAATGTTGTTAAGTGCCGTGGAGTTGGTTCTGACTCACAATGACCCTGTAGAGGATTTCCAAGGAGCGGCTGGTGAGCTTGAACTACAGCCCTTGAGGTTCAAACTGGACTACAGTCCAGTGCATTAAACCGCAGCACCACCCAGGATTTCCATTCACTTAATAGTTTTCATATTAAGTACAAGGCACCTCAAGGAGCTCTGGTAGCGTAGTGGTTACGAATCAGGCTGTTAATGTCACGGTCAGCAGTTCGAAACTACCAGCTGTTCCGCAGGAGTAAGAGAAGGCTTTCTGCTCCCGTAAGATTTACAGCCCCGGAAACCCTGTCGCTATGAGTTGGAACTGACTCCACGGCACATAACAACAACAACACAAGGCACCTCAGGGGTTACAAAGATCTTTCCTATGCGGCCTTGGTCAGCAGAGCACGCCAGAGAAGTGGCACCAAGGTGCTGACACCTCAGTGAAACCGGGCCGGCTGCACAGCACTGACACCAGCTGGGCAGAGTGGGGGAAATGGAATCGCCTGCACTGAAAGGCTGGGGAGCTCATCTCCTCTAGTGGCTCCCTAGAAGCCCTGGTAGTGCTGTGGATAAGCACTGGACTGCTAGCCACAAGGTTGGCGGTTCAAACCCACCAGCAGCTCCTTGAGAGAAAGATGAGGTTGCCTGCCCCCGTAAAGATGTACAGTCTTGGCAACAATGAGGAGTTGGTCCTATGCTGTCCTACAGGGTTACCGGGAGTCGGATGAACCTGACAGCAATAGGTGCAATAGGTGGGCTGGTGGGTGAGCAGTGACATCCTAAGGAGCCCAGGTGGCACAGTGGGTTAAGCACTGGGCTGCCAACCAAAAGGTTAGCGGTCCAAACTCATTAGCCACTCCATGGGAGAACGATGAGGCTGTCTGCTTCCAGTGGGTTTCGGGATTTTTGTGAGAGGCTTCCCGTGACGCACTAAAGCAATTCCAGGAACCTTCCCACAGATAACAAGATGAGTGAAAACCCCAGTGGAAAGAAAGAGAAACCAATAGTCGATTTTCCTTGCCTCATACATTTACTTTATCAAAACAGCACCCACTCTGGTTTCTCAAGCACGTAATTCTTCTAGCATTTAACCTTGACTCAATGGCAAGAGCAGTGAATACCCAACAATACTAACTGTATGTCGCTGAGGTCTACTACCCATGCAGATGTTTCAACTTTCTCTGTAGTGAATGAAAGCGATTTCATCTTTTACATGTCCTTTTTTTTTTCCCTAAATAGTGAAGGGCACTTTGAAAGCTTTCTGAATCCTCACACACACACACACACACACACACACACAGTATTTACCACAGATCAGTTCCACTTGCTGGACTCGATTCATGCTGTTCAGGGTCTCCATTAAAGGGTCTCGCCTATCGGTGGCCTGGTCAGTCTTGCCTTTGTTTTCATAAGCCAAAACAGTGTCATATTCATCTGTCAGGAACTGAACATCGAGATCTCCATACATTTTCTTTGAGAATAAAACCAGTTTGCTCGTTAGACCTGTGTGTCGTTGTCAAAAAGCCAACTTCCCAAGAACCACCAAAGACTGATAAGAGATTTCCAGAGGAAAAGCTAGGAAAACCAGAGTCTTTTAACACGGAGCTGCTTGAATCCATGACTCCTTATACCAGATAGCCCCCAAACCTAGGAGGTCTCTATTGATAACCCAATGAGTTATTGGAACTTCCAGGCAGTGAGTCTCAAGAAACTCTACAGGTTAAGAGATAACCATTGTGATAAAAACCTAAATAACATTGTATAATTAATTTCTGCCATAAATCCAATAAGTATTCAGATTGCAAGTCCTATCTATCAATCTGCTTACGCTCTGTACAGCAACTCCACAAATACACATCTCAGGTGCTCTTAGTCTAGAGTCTCGGCATCAGTCCCCAGACACACTAACGCTGAACTCGATCAGGAACTCACCAAACAGTCTTTGCAGGTACACAACCTACGGCGCCAGTTCAGCGGCCAGTAGGTGGCAGTGTTCTTCGTTACAGGCGGTTTCGTTTTAAGTAGCTGAAGTCTGCAGCCAAACTGGGATTCTGCGTTGAGACTCTGATTCTTAAATGCCTTCTGAAACAAAACCACGGTTGGAAGTGTATTTTGAAAACCATCATAGTTTTTTAGTTTACATTTTGTACCCACATATCTTCAGGTAGAAGGTACCACTGAAATCCAAAGATGCTGAGCTCACTGGATTCATTTAGCCTGAGTTTATTTGCTCTGGCCCATGACATTACCTGGAGATCAGACTCAGAACGGGAGCTGGTCCCCGGTTCACTGGTCTGCTCTGCTTTGACATCCGTAACAGCATCTTTTCCACTTTCCGGGACATCTGCTTTGAGGACATTATTTTGATGATCTCCATTTTCTGCTTGGATAACTTCCAGGTCACCTTTTCCATCCACATTCAGCACCGATCCATCATCCTCGGTAGATACTTTGGTTACTGTGGGTACAATGAAATGAATTAGTTCATTCAAAACGCATACTGACTTGTCAGACAATGATCTGGTTAACAGGTATTTCAGAATCTGGAAGGAAAAAGCCAACCTTAATATCTGGAAGGAAAAGTAAGGAAGAAGCAAACATGGACATGATTTCAGGGTATGGCCGCCTAACCAGAGTTCAAATCATCCAACAGGTCCTTTAAAGACATGACTCATGACTAAAACACACTTTCTGCGTAAAGACCACAGAAGACATGGGGTAACTCAAGAAGTGGCAGCAAGAAGAGAGTAACTGTGGACAAGGTGGAAGGGTAGTTTGGGGAGAAAACCAGTGTTTGTAAAAGATTGGTCTAGAGGCAGAAATGCTGTGCGGAAGAGACATGAGAAGGGAGCTCACATTGGATGCTGACATTTTGTTGGATGCAGGCATATTTCCATTTAACAGAAGATGAGGTCATTTCTGATGGGGAAGGAGATGAAGTGGGGAGACCACAATGAAGAAATCCAAGGCCTGAGGAAATCCAGACAGGCCCAGTATCTATGGAAAGTGAGGGGTCTGACTGCAAAGAGTGTGGCCAGGAAGAGAGAGCACACCAAAGGTGTGGCTGAGCTGTTGTGGTTTCTATGGGGATGTGATCCCAAAGTGGAGGAGGGCAAGAAATAATGAGGTCAGAGTCACTGATATTATGAGTAACTGCCACTTGAAAATACATTGTTGCTGTTATATGCCGTGGAGTCACTTCTGACTCATAGAGACCCTGAACAGGGTTTCCAAGGAGTGGTTCGTGAGTTGAGCCTCCAATCTTGTGTTTAGCAGCTCAGAGCTGACCCTGTGCTTCCTGCTGCCCTTCTACCCACCTGTCCATCCGTCAGAGTTAGAGCTCTGTGTCAACTTGACTAGGGCAGGATGTCCAGAGCTTTAGCAGTTGAGCTGTGCTTATCCCCACAGTGATGAACCCTAACACAGGCACAGTTAACTCTTTGATGAGTGGGTCATGAGCAGCCAATCAACTGAAAGGATGTTCCCTTGGGAGTGTGGCCTGCTCCTAATGTAATGGACATACGCGAAAAGGCTCCCTTGCTTCCGCTGGGGACCTGGGACTCTACAATTAATTGTAAGCTATACCCTTGATATAAACTTCTTATGTATATGCTGCTGTTATGTGCTGTTGAGTTGGTTACGACCCAAAGCGATCCTACATAGGGTTTCCAAGGAGCGGCTGGTAAGCTTGAACCGCTGACCCTGTAGTTCAAACTGACTGCAGTTCAGCACATTAACCCACAGCACTACACCAGGGCTCCATAAATATATATATATATATATATATGTATGTATGTATGTATACATGTTGTTATTATGTGCTGTGGAGTCGGTTCTGACTTATAGCGACCCTGTTCAGGGTTTCCGAGGCTATAAATCTTTACGGGAAGGAGCTCTGGTAGCGGAGTAGTTACGAATCGGGCTGTGAACCACGAGGTCAGCAGTTGGAAACTACCAGCTGTTCCACGGGAGAAAGATGAGGCTTTCTGCTCCCGTAAAGATTTACAGTACATAACTACCACCACCAAATCTTTACGGGAGCAGAAACCTTCATCTTTCTCCCACGGAACAGCTGACAGTTTCCAAATGCCGACCTTGCAGTTCGCAGCCCGATTCATAACCACTACGCTACCAGAGTTCCACATAGATAAACGTATGGAGTCCTAGTGTGGTGCTGCGGGTTAATGCGCCAGACTGCAAAGCCATTTGAACTGCAAGGTTGGTGGTTCAAGCTTACCAGCTGCTCCTCAGCAACTCTATACAGGGTTGCTATGGGTCGGAACTGACTCGATGGTAATTAACAACAGCAACAAATATATATACATATATATGAAGAAAATCCAGTCCCACTCTCGGTACCACTTAGCTTAGACTATAGCAAAACTAGTGAGACGTATATAATATATATATAAAAAGTTTAGACCAAGGTAATGTCTTAAAATTGTAGAGTCCCGGTCCCCAGCAGAAGAGAGAGACTGAGCCCTTACTGCATGCCCATCATACTGGCACCAGGCCACACCCCCCAGGGTAGCATCCTTCAGTTGACTGACTGCTCATAGCGTTCACTAACAACTACCAAACAACTGGGAACCCTGGCTCCATCAAGTTAGCACAGAACCTTCACTATCACGCCATCCCTTCTCACCTTTGTCCTGAGGTAAATGGTGCCCTTTTAATTGTGAACAATTGACTATTTCATGGTGACCATACCTTTCCTATGTTGTTGTTCCCCTATATACCTATCTATTACTTGGCTAAAAATGGGCCCACAAGGGGGAGTTCCTTTCCAGATGTAAAGAGTGGTCAAGGGCAATACATTAGTCTTGGGTTCTGCCTGTCTCTTTCTGACCAGTAAGCCCAGTTGTTTTTTTAATTTTGAGTTTTGTTCCACATTTTCTCCCACTCTATCTGGGACCTTCTAACGTGATCCCTTTCAGAGCAGGTGGTAGTGGCAGCTGGGTGCCATCTGGACCTTCTGGTCTCAGAGTTGTGGAGACTGATGTTCACAAGTTCCATTAGTTCACAGGACTAATGGATCTCAAGCATCTTCAATTCACATCACTCTTTTTTCCACACATGGAGAGACCAATTGTTGCACCTTAGATGGCTGTCCGTGAGCTTTTCAGATCCCAGACACTCCTTACCAAAGTAGGATGTGGACCATTGTCTTTGTGGGCTCTGGGATGCCAGCTGACTGTGGTGTGCCCTGAGACTAGGGTCCTGAGCCCCCCTGACTCAACAACTCATTATTCATTATTGCCTTAGGAAGTCTGGTAATCACTAAGAAGTTTTCATCATTTTGCCTGCTATATGCTCTACCATAGTCATACAGATCTCCTCTTTAAACCCCAATAAATCTGTGGGTGTACTCCCACTCTTCCTCCCATACTCGTTCAGTCTGTGTATCTGTCCATGTATCTACCCACCGATCACTGTTGTTCCAAGATTGTGTATGTAACACTATTTACCTCTAACCCCTTTAGGAAGTCCTGGTGTGGTACTGTGGGTTAATGCGCCAGACTGCAAAGCTGTGTGAACTGCGAGGTCAGTGGTTCAAGCTCACCAGCTGCTCCTCAGAAACCCTATACTGACTAGCTATATGAGTCGGAACTGACTTGATGGCACTTAACAATCTCTATCCCCTCTAGCCCTTGAGTACCTCCCTGTGTCTTCATCATTCTTCTGCCAACCTCTGTCTTCTTGTATATTACCTTTCCCGTCACCCAAGTTAACATGTGTCTACCCTCAAATATTCCATTATTTTTTCATCCATGTTTCCACGACGTTTTCAGTGTGTGTTATAAGGGTTTCTGAAAACTGTGAGACCACTTATGTATGTTTTCTTGGGGCACCATGCACATTATATGCATGGGCACATTATCTGCAGAAAAATATGGTCATTGGTCTGGGTCAATTTCTCAGTGCATAATAAAGGCACTCGATTACATTACAACTCTTACTCCCTCCCCAACCAAAAGCATGTCTTACACTAAAGATCATCCTATTTTATTTCTCTCTCTTTCAAAGTCCCATTCAAAACTGCCTCCTCCATTTTCTCTACCTCTGGTTCATCCATAGTCTGCCCCATGTCATCAAACATACGTTGTTCTGAAAGTCTCCCATCCAGTGTACAAGTGTGATGGAAAAGGCACGTGTCTTACACGTCCTGTCCTGCCTCAGAGTCCTCTTAGAAGCAGGTCCTGAACAGAATGCACGGCCCACGCAGATGCCATCAGAACATCTTGGTGGCAGAGCACAGACTTCAGAGGTCCCTACCTGCCAGCTGCTCAGCATAAGCCCACAGGAAAGAACAACGCTTCATACACGCCTGGCACACCATCTCCTGGAAGCCCCCACTCTCAGGGGGGGTGACACCAAGATGCTGTCAACACAGAAAACAGAGTTTTCTTCTGATCGTCAAGTTGCTCCAAATGCCATTCTTTTATACACAAACACAGGTCTATCTCATTTTACTATGTTTTGCTGAGACTTTGTTTTTTCACAAACTGGAGGTTTATGCCAACCCTGCATCGGGCAAGTTCATGGATGTCATTTGTCCAACATCGGGTGCTACTTTGGGTCTCTGTGCCACCTTTGCTAAGCCCCATACAGTCTCCCCTCCCCCGTCTTCTTAATGCTACCGGACACTCCATAGACAAGAACATAAACACGGACTTGGAGATGTGCTGGCAAACCAGAAACTCAGCGTGACTACTTGACTGATGGCTGCTTTGCTGGGATGGGATGGAATACAACCCATAATATCACCGAGGTACGCCCATATTATAATCCCCAGGACCATGGAGTTGATTCCAGCTCAGAGAAAGAGCAGGACAGAGAAGTGCCCCGTAGAGTCTCCGAGGCTGTCATCTTTACAGAATCAGACTACCACCACTTTCTCCCAGAGCGGCTGGCCAACCTTACAGTTGGCAGGCGAGCGCTTTAGCCACTGTGCCACTAGGGCTCCATCAATATCCCAACAGTGCATCAGTGACAACTTTCTATGTGTAGACATCATTATGATGATGTCAGAGACACCCATTAGAAAGGAATCCCCTTTATCTTTTCATAAAGGCCAGACAGCGGAGCAGCTGCTTTCCTCACCCGTCCGTGGAACCAGTCTTCACAGATTACGCACTGGATCATCTCATCCGGGACCTAACACAGACAAGCAGCTTGTTTACTGGCTGATGCTGACACTGGGTACAGGGACACAGACATAACCGGCGCACAGTAAAATGAGACAGGCCGCAACTCTCTACCAACTCTCTGAGACATCTGCAGCCAAAGGGGTGGATGAGGCAGCAGACCCAGGGGCCACGGGAATCGCCTCTGTGAACTGGACTTAGGTCAGGGTTACACTGAGATGGCTACTTGGCAAGGATCAAAGCTCTTTCACATCAGTTACCTAATGCTGTTAAGTGTCGAGTCAGTTCTGATTCGCAGCGACTCTGCACAGGATTTCCAAGGAGCGGCTAGTGGGTTTGAACTGCTGACCTTGCAATTAGCAGTCCAGTGCTTGTCCTGTAGCACCACACCAGGTCTCCTAATAGCAGATCTTAAAACTCTGTAAAGAGTGGTTTCATTTTCCCTTTTTATACATATAGACTGAGGCCCCAGGAGGGAATGTAAATTGACCAGTACAGAACGTGGCAACCATGGTTTTGACCCTACTGTGCTGCCAAGAAAATGGAAAAGTAGACGCTGCCGTTTCTCGACAATATGGACAGCAACTGATCCTTTCATCTGAAGAATTAAGTGCTAACCCTGGAAAAATTAGGTCTCAAAGAACAGAGTCTTCTGAATGCTTTCCCTTTGGTTCCCAGGATTCCGTGTCTAGTGATTAACATTCCAATGTTGTGCTGCCCCTTTGCTTGTACAGTTCTCTGCCTGATTAAGTGATTCTTCATCGTAGTTCTTTTTCTTCTGTCTTTTGACTCTACAGTATTATAACACTCTGTCCTATGCCTTACAATATCAGGTTTGGTTTTCTTTTTGTTAGCTCAAAGATAGCTCCAATTTGTTCTTCCATATTAATTGGGTTTAATAATTGCAGTTTCAAGACAATTAGAAAGAAAGAAGGCAAATTTCTCTAAATGTAAAAAGAACTCTTTGAAATCTGTAACACAAACGAACTCAATCTAATCAAACATGGGCCAAGGAAATGGGGGAAAAAAACCTGGAATGAAGGTTATTACTGATGCCCAGTAAATTTATGAAAAGATGCACATTCACTCATGATCAGGGAAATGAAAATTTGATTCTGTTATGTGTTTATCAGACTGACAAGATGTCAGTTTTTTTGAGGGTAGGGATTGGTTCCTTTTTTTTCTTTCTTTTGTTATTGAAAATACATATACAGCTTGTGCCTCAAGTCAGTTCCGACTCATAGCAATCCTGTATAGTGTTTCTGAGGAGTGGCTAGTGGGTTTGAACTGCTTTCATTCTCATGATGTAAAAGAAAGACTAGTTCAGCTCTGTACCAGTTAGAAACCTAGCCCAGAGTCCTAAGGAGGGATACAGTCAGAATCCTGCCACAGTGCCTGAATTCCTGTTCAACAGCTAGATGGGCCCAAACATGATGACAGAGTCCCAGGGTTAACTTCCAATTCTCTTACCTCGTCTTCTGGGTCAGGATAAGGTCTCTTGCAAACACAGTACAAGCCGAAAAAGTTGTCATTGTACTTATTGCCTGAATTTACCTTTGCTTTATCCTGAAAGACAATTTCAATATGTAAAATGGTCAAACTGTAACTATAGTTTCATGTATTCACTAAATAAATATTCCCCTACCCCCTTCTAGGAGCTGGTCTTTAGCTTTCAAAGTACAGAGAAGGGAGGAGGGAAATAATCATGCCTATTAATGGGATACTTTCCCAAAATACAGGGGGGGAAATTTTGGTTTGGGTAGAAGCTGAGGGAAATTGAACATGCTCATTCAATTAAATGGCAGTGAAAGTTCATCATTAATTACTGTTGTTATTAAGTGCTGTTGAGTGAATTCCAAGGGATAGCGACCCTCGTTAATTATTAACCTATGTAAATTGACACTGACCTGGAACTCTGGGGTACTTCATGCCCAGCAGTGATAGCCAAGGACCCCAGAGGTTACTAGGAAATCAAAAGCAGGCAAGGAAACCATCTACAAATCACCTTCACAAGACGGACAGAGCATGACAGCTTTCGTAATTCTGACTGAATACTACAACATCTCTCACCTCTGTTGTTTGATTCAAGCTTTTTGTACAAGCAGCTTTTATTAACTAAAGAGCAGTGAAAAGCTCTTGTGCACACCTAGCCTGCATCCGTGGCTACCATGTTTTATTTATTCCGTTTTAGAGTTCTTTAAAAGCCTCAGAGCATGAGAATAATTGACCTAAACCTGAAAAGCCTTAAAGAACATTTCCCCTCAAACCCTTCACATCAATTACAATCAATAGAGTGGACTCTGAAAGGGCTACAGTTTTTCCAACAGTTAAAAAATAAAATATACAGTGCAGACCCGGTCAGGAGGCCAAGCCCCTGTGGGCCCAAGCGTTGCTGACCGTCCAAACCATAGGCTCTGAGGATCAGACTCTAGCCACCTAGTAGACATAGCAAACTGTCCCTAATATGATTATTCAGTAATGCTTGTTAGTAATCTCATACATGAGCCCTGGATATCCACAGACAAATGTAAAAACCTTCCCTAAAAGCCAAGACTGTAAATTCCAAAAAGGCAAGTCCCCCCCCATCCAAAAAAAAAAAAAAGCTAAAGAGCATAGAGAGAAACACTGTAAACCGATGATATATGGTGGGGATAATAATCAATGCAATGAAACAAGCTATAAGAATGGTTGACTGTGAAGCTGATGATGTGCCCTATAAACTTTCACTCAATGCAAAATAAAAACATTTAATTTAAAAAAATAAAATATAATCTACTATTTTTTCTTTTTTAATGTGGCAGTTGTTTTTCCAAGAAATCTAGAACACCAATTTGTGAGAATAAATTTCACTTGTGAGAGCACACACAGCACACAGGTAGCCTTGGAGTTGGGGAATGGGTTTGAGTTTTGGCATAATTTGTGAATCCACAGCTTTCTAATCCACTTGGCGCTGCTCAGTAATATAGTATTTCTAATTCTTGGTGTTGAAGATCTCACCTTCTTGGCATCTGGGCTTTCATACATGCTTCTTTTTGAAGTAAGCAGATGTAAAATGTTTGGAGAGCTTCATACCACGGATATCACTTTTGGTGGCAATGACAAATTTCTAAACAGAGGAACTTGATGTAGGGACAGAGGTATCCGGCCTTTCTGGAATACGAGGCCAATCGGGAATGCATACCAATTCCTTGGACTAGGACAGGGTCTCTGCTGCAGTGGGGCTTCCCCTTCTTGGGTTTTTTGCCCTTGAGGTTAGCCTCTTAACCTTACCACTGGCGTCTGCTTTCTTGACTTCAGCTTTCTTCTCCTTAGTAGCCGGCTTCTCAGCCTTTTCACCCGCCATTTTGCAAGATAGGCAAGGCTACGATGGTCTACTACTGATTTGACCATTTACAAAGGGTAAGAAAATATTTTGGAAAATATTGGGTTTCCACTTAACTTGAGCTCCTTTCTAGGCATTATGTATATGGTCTATTACTGATCATTTGCAGTAAGAAGTTCCCTTTTTGGCAAATATTGGGTTTCCATCTACTCTGGCAAATATCAACTTGAGCTCATTTCTAGGCATTATGTATTTATAAAGCTTACTTACAGGAAATAATTTGCATTCCAGATTTTTAAACTTGCTGTTTCCACAATCACAACGAAAATTCCTGAAACAAAAGAAGAGCCAATTTGATTTTGTCCTTTGACTCTAATTGCTTACACTTTACACTCAAATCCTAGCCGGCTTCTTTTTCTTCTCTTTTACAGGACCTAAAATGTAGACTGGATTGCTCTCCATGAATCCAATTCAGAATTTCCCCAAACATATAACAACAAAGAGGATTTTGCATTTTGCAAGTTGACATGCAGCAACAGATCATTTATATACATAAAATCAGATACAAGGAGGCTTCAATAAGTTTATGGAAAAATGGAATTAAAAGAAAATGAAACTTTTCTATGAACTTTTTGAAGCCCCTTCTTATACATACATATGCTTATTATATGATATTATTGTTAAATGCCATCAAATTGGTTCCAACTCATAGTGACCCTGTATAGAGTTTCCAAATAGTGGCTGGTGGGTTTGAACTGCTGATCTTGTGGTTAGCAGTCCAGTGCTTATCCTACAGTGCCACACCAGGACTCCATGCTTATATATATGTAAATGTGTATACTGATGACTGTGTGTGCCATGGACTCGGTCCTAGACTGCTACCCACAAGGTCGGCAATTCAAACCTAACCATTGCTCCCTGGGAGAAAGATAAGGCTGTCTGCTCCCAGAAAGATTTACAATCTTGGAAACCCTACAGGGCCGCTAGGAGTTGGAATGCACACAATGGCAGTATGCACACAAGGTAAATGGTGGCAGAGAAGAATAGGTATTGAGTTTGTACCATAATTATATCTCAAAAGGCCTTCTGGAAAAACCATCCTCTCCAATTACATTGCATAACATAACTACATTAAATTTCGCTAGTGCACAACTATTTTTAATGGAAAAACAAGATGAAGGAAAACTAGTACAGCTGGGAAAGCAGCATTCTCTAACCATCTGAGCGGCTTTACCTTTTTGTGTAGAGCTCGAAGAGTTTATGACTTCCGTGGCATTCATAACTGCAGGCGAGGCAAATGCCTGCGGGTTCTTCTCCTTGGGGCGTGCAGGTACTACAGGCATACAGTGCTTGTCTCTTTACTGAGCCCTAAAAGCCAGCCCCAGAATAGAACCAGAGAGAAAGAGAGAATGAGTTCATAAAACATGGGAGAGTTACCTATACTTAAAGTAAGATCTGAGAAAAAAGTCAAGATCTTCCTATAAAAACCACCAAGACTATTAGCAAAGTTTATACAACAGAGTAATGAAACACTGTTGCTAGTTTCATATCACTATATATGTACTGCACTAGGAGTCCGGGTAATAGTGTAGGATAAGCACTGGACTGCTAACCTCAAGGTCGGCAGGTCACACTCACCAGCTGATTTGAGGAAGAAGGATGAGGCTTTGTAATCACAGCCTTAGAAAAAAAGCCTCTAAGGGTTACGGTAGTTAGAACTGACTTAGAACTGACTTGACGGCAGCGGGTCTGGGGTACTACACCAGTGCTTGTTTTCTTAAAGTGATAGGAAGTTTTAAAATCTCAGTCAACTGAGTAAACAAGCTGTTCTGGTTAACCCTTTTACCACATGGAAAAGTAGGAGAATGTGCGCAAGAGAGAAAGAGAGAGACTACATTTGGAGGGGCAGTGTTGGGCCATGTAGAGCTCCTGTTCAAATGGGTTAACAAAATGAAAAGAAAGCTCAGTGTATTACCCAGAGAGGAAGAGAGAAAACAATATATGGAAGAGGCATACAGGTCTTCATAACATTCTGTTAACTTATCCATAAATTTCAAATTTTTGAAAGTAAAGGAGAGAAAATAGGCAAAACTTATTGTTTTGAAATTAAGAGAAAATAGGCAAAACCTAACAATGGTTATCCTCCTCTAAGGAGCTCAGGTAGGGTAGTGGTTACGCTATGGGCTGCTAACTGCAAGGTCAGCAGTTCAAATCTACCAGCTGCTCCTTGAGAGAAAGATGAAGCTGTCTGCTCCCAGAGATTCATTGTCTCAGGAAACACTACACAGGGTCACTATGAGTCAGAACCAATGTGATGGCATACCACCACCACCACGCCCACTACTACCTTCCTCTCCGTAGGAGGGAGAGACCCATGGAGGCTTCTGGGATGTTGGGGAATATTTTGTTTTTGATCTGGGTGGTGGGTATATGGATGTGTTCATTTCCCCCCCGCAAGATATACACATGATTTGTGCAATTTGCTGTTAAAAAAGAACATTTTAATGAGGTCTCTTTTATTCGGCTAACTACATTTCAAAAATAGCTGACACACAGATCTAGGACCTATCATTTGTTTTTTAAAAGGACAGCCGGGAAAAAGTCTACTGATGACCAAAAGGACCAAAATATCAGCCAACATCTGCATACCAGATTTACTCAACAATGTAACTGCTTTGCAGTCAGGATAAATGCAACTTGGTCCACAACTGGTATTATGATCTCAGGGCATACCACATAATGACAAGTCTGGCCTCATCTCCCAATGTTCCACCCTCCTATCTAGGTCAGCTTTCTCCTGCAAATTCCCACTCCTTGGTTCCTGCTCCCCGCTCTTCTCCATTTTGATACCTAGAATACAGGCTGAATCACCGAACACTACGTCCCACCCACCCACTGCCACCCAGTCCCTAGAGACCCTACAGAACAGAGTAGAAATGTTCCTGAGCATTTTGGAGGCTATGAGTATAGGAGCAGACTGTCTCACCCATCTCTAATGGAGGGCAGGTGGGTGGGTGTGAGCCATCCACCACCTAGTTAGCAGCCTAACTCTTAACCCTCAGCTTCCCTCTCAAGGAGTCACAAGGGCTCTTTGAATCCTACCCCCTCAAGCCCTTATTTACAGTGTCTTCTTCCAAAGGCCTAATTTTCTCTCAAACTGATCCTTTCCTTTTCTCCTCTCTATGCCCCTTTGCTAGTATCACCTGCTGTTCCGGTCCAGTGTATTACCAGAGGAATAAGGCAGACATGGCACCTGCTTCGTTTCATCAAAAAAGGAAGAGCATTTGCCAAATTAAATTGCAAAGAGAAACGAGCTTTCCAGGAGCTCAGCCCACACAGGGAGAATCTCAAATCCAGAGCTCTTTCATCCTGCTGGAGACTCTCCTAAGAAATACCTAATGGTTTTGATTAAAGATGCCAGAGAAGAATCCTGATCAAAAGGGGGGGGCATGTGGAATAGAAATTACATCCTCATGGAATCCAGACTTTCTGGAACCATGAAGGCTGGATGGACTCACAAACCGATTGCCCTGAAAGATCATTAAACTGTTCTTTAAACCTTAAACCAAAAATATCCCCCCAAGGCCTTCTGTACTAAACAATGCTTTAGTTTTGTAAACAATGTCTGCCTTGAATATTACACTTTCTTCAGAATTAATTCGACAAGGGAACTTGAAAGATGAGATGGGGGTCGGTGAGCTGCTGAATGTGGCAGGAACCACCTAGCAAAGGAGAGAGAGAATGCTGGCTCAACTTGAAGAATATCAATGTCACGGAGTTAATACACGTAGAAGGTGTCGAACTGGCAGATGTTTAACTGTGTTAAGTTCTCAACAACATAATTTTTAAAAAAATAATAAACGCTAATGGTTCTGTTCTTAATAAACACCCCTGGGATGGGGGAAGTAGGAACAAAGATGTCTGAATTTCAGAGGTCCCAGGGACGGTTTCCTGAGCAGCGGCGCAGCCACCGAGATGAGTCTGAATTCAAGGACCAAGCCTGGAGGGTCCAGGGCACTGGACGGAAGGAGGGAGACTCGGGGGGAGGAGGGCTGGACACAGGATGAGGAAAGGGTCCAGGGAGGATAAAAGGGCAGTTGGGCCTACAGTGGAAACGCCTACGGCGAGCCGCTGCCCGGCTCCAACACAGTGGAGACCATCGAGGCGGCGGGAACTGGGAGTCCGGCCGGGAGGGGCGATCAGCGGGAGCCGGAGGGGAGTAAAGGCCCGGGCCACGCGCCCACCTGCGAATAGGAACACTTCTCGGAGTCGCTGCCGCCCAGCACAGCGCACGCCTCATTCTCCAGCTCCTCGTCCTCCTCGAGCACGTCGACCAACGATACCACAGGTTCCAGTTCTGACTGCCGCCCAGAAGAGTCCTCGGCTCCGGCCATCCTCAACTGTCACCTGGCCCACAGCTCTGGCCTGGCGGAGGCGGGAAACGCGACCCCGAGAGGCGTAGCCGGAGGGGGCGGGGCCTGAGTCCTGGGAACCAATCCCCAAACAGAGAAGCAGGAGGGGGTAGGAGCGACTCCGGACAAACGGAAGTCACTCCTCGCCCTTCTCCCGCCCATGCCCGCTGCGGACCGGTTTCCGCTTCCGGGCGCTGCCTTCCGGTTGCACGCGTTTGCAGTTCGCTGGTCGCCATGGAGCTGTTGGCCGAGTTTGTCGGGTGGGACGGGCAGCGACACCAGCTACGAGTGTCCTGTGAGGCACCGAACGATGCCGACCCTCTCCAGGGCCTTCTGTCGGGAGTGGCCGAGCTGAGGGAGAGGTTGTCCGAGCTTTTCGGCGCCGTGGAACAGCAGGAAGCGCAGGATCCGGTGGCGGCGGTGGCGGCTGGAGGCGAACTCTTAAATGGTGAGTTTGAGGCGGCTTGGGAACGACAGGAGAGCGGGGTGGGACGTCTCCCGGAAAATCTTTGGGGAGTTCGTGTTTGGAGGGATGGGCTTGAGAAAAGGGAGCCCGCGCTGGGAGGAGAATTGCCACTAAGAATAATCGGCATTCAACGGTCATAGATATCTTGGGCTGTTGCTACGGAAGCATTTTCACAACTTTTGCATTTTTACGTACCTACAACACGTGCCAAAGGAGCTCTGGTAGCGTAGCGTTTACGAATCGGGCTGTGAACCGCAAGGTCGGCAGTTCGAAACTACCAGCTGTTCCGCGAGAGAAAGATGAGGCTTTCTGCTCCCGTAAAGATTTTGCAGCCTCGGAAACCCTGTTCAGGGTATAGGTTCCGACTCCACGGCACATAACAACAACAACCAGGTTTGCAAGACTGCAAACTCTCTGCACTGAACTCTTCCAGAAACTCCTTTGTATCCAAGCTGTGTAAATGGCGCCTGGGAAGGCAACACGAGAATGTAACTATACTCACGATTTCCCCCGACCCCCTGCATTAGCTAATTCCAATCTCGTCTGGAAGACAAAAACGGGTGCGTTTTGACTGCCTGAGCTAAATACTGGAGTCAGGAGTCCCTCATCTGTAGATGAGCTTTCTGAACAGTACTTTATTTACATCTTGTTTATTATACCTTGATGGTTTCAGAACATTGCCCTGAGCTCAAGATAATAGATTGTTTCCAGGAATAAGTTCGTTGGTTGTTGCCGCATATGAAGAGAAGTCCTGTTTCTTGTGTCTCTGATCTATTAAATATGTTAGGACGTAAGGACGAGTAGAAGTCTTCATGTGGAGCTGCGGGTTAATGCGCTGGACTGAAAAGTCATTTGAACCGCAAGGTCGATGGTTCAAGCTCACCGGTCGCTCCTTGGAAACCCTGTAGAGTCGCTATGAGTCGGAATCGACTCAACGGTACTTAACAACAACATCCTAACTCTGATGGTACAGCAGTTAAGCACTTGACGGCTATTTGAAAGGTTAGCAGTTCAAGTCCACCCAGCAACTCTGCAGAGAGCCTTGACCATCTCCTTCTGTAAGGATGAGAGCCTAGAAAAGCATCAGTACTCACTGGAAAAAAATAGCTATCACCTGTCCTACAGATAATGAGTAGGATGGCATGTTTTTACATATTTAATGATCAAGCCCTTAAGCTTTAGTTTGATTTAGTTTCGTTAAAAGCTCATAATGGTTAAAATGGTAGACTTTATGTTACGTGAATAAAATATGTCAAAAAATAAAAATTATAGCAGCTTTTTTTTTTTTTAATTGATAGAACTCAACCCTAAAAAGACAACCCATCTTAATAATGGGCAAAGCATTTGAACAGTCAGTTCTCTAAGATACACAGATGGCCAATAGGCACATGAAAAGATGATCAGCAGCATCAGCCGCCAGGAAAATGCGACCCAAAACCAGTGATGTGATGGTTGGGAAAGCCACACCCACTAGGATGACTATAATTTAAAAGGTGATTGATTAAGGGTAGGGCTGTACACCCATAAAAAGTTCCATTGACAAAAGTTATGTGATATATTTACAGTTAGCAAAAAATGTAGCTGCTGAGGTTGATTGATATACAACCAAACACCCCGTGGCATTTGATTCTTGGTTTGGAGGTCTTTAAATCATACATATAGTTTGAATCTGAGATATGCAGCCATTTTAACGATCTGTATTTCTTTTGAACCAGTGAACATATTATCATGCAACAAATATTTATTTTACAAGGTGATGCTGAAGATGCTGCAGAAGATGAAAACAACCCTAACTCAGATGGACCATCTGCAAAACGACCCAAACCACCAACCTAACTAGCTTGTATGAAATCCAAACTAGAAGACGGCTGCTGTCCTCCTAATTACTACTCACTAACAATTCAGAAAAGATTTATGCTCTCGTTTGGAAAAGCATCTGTTTTGTTCTCCTGAGACAGTTTTTGTCAAAAAAAAAAAAGAATACTTAGAAATAAATCTGCTTTCTTGAGTGAGAAAGAAATTTCAGACCATGTAAATAAAATAGAACCACTGAATTGTGTGCTGTCTATATCTTTAAACTTCTATGTCTGTTTTTAAAAGTCCATAATATTTCAAGAACTCACATGAGCAAGTGGTGAAAGTTGCATCTTAAATCTGAGTGGAGGCTCTTCACAAGTAGAAGGAATTTAATACTAGAGAGAAGGAGCCCTTGAGAGAGACCCAAGTAAGCACTAAATCTACTCATACCCAGTTTGCAAACATTAAGAATTTAGAGATAGACCACTCGTAGATGACTCAATAAATAATGTGTTCATCTTCTGGTTTACCTTCTGCTCTTAGAGACCAGATGAAAAGCCTAAATTAACAGTCTGTTCACTATGAGACTTCCTTTCCTCTTATAATCATACTTGCTTAACAGAACCATTTCCTAAAATGTATGTGTGTGTGTTTTCTATTTGTTGTAGAAGGAAGGCATTGTAATTTTACCTACAGAAATACAATTTGTCATAGAATTTTTTTAATTGAATCTCAGAGTAGGTATTAGCCCTGAGTTACATGGCTAATCATTGGCAGAACTGAGTTGCATAGCCTTTTGCCATTTTTCCCCCTAAGCTGATAAAAAGAGAATCATCAGTTAGCCATTACCTTGTTTAATTAATGATAATGTCTAATATGGAGTCCTTGTGTGGTACCGTAGGATAAACGCTAGACTGCAAAGTTAGTTTGGTCCATAAGATGGGTTGTTCAGATTTCCTAGTGGCTCCTTGGAAACCCTATACAGGGTCACTGAATCAGAACTGACTGGAAGGCGCTTAACAACAAATGTCTCATATTGATTGGTGCCTCAACTCAGTTTCTGATTATATTTTTGTCTTAATACAATTCTAAAATTCTAGCAGAATTCAAATAGATTATATTTTAAAATTAATAGCAGAGCCTTGCTACCTGAATAGTTTTCCTTTGTTTAGTAAAACAGAAGAGAAATTTCAAGATAACTTGTGTTCTGAACCAGATTCTGTTACAGATCTGATTGGTCTTACAATAAATAATTATAAAGATAAAAAGAAAATAGAAAAATTCTAATATTCTGATTCTAATACTGTCTTTTTCATAAGTGATACAAAGCATCAGTTTGAAGACCCAGTACCAAATGTCTAGTTTTCTAACCTGCTGCCTTGTAATAGTACATATGTTAGCCATAGCAAGTGGAACTATTCATTTCTGAAACAGCTCCAACTTGTCCACAGGAAAGTCAACCCCACAATCTTAACTAAAGATAAGCTATTTGAGATTGACACTAGACAGTTAAATCTTTTAAAATGTGAAACGTGCACACAGGATAGTTTGGGTGCTAGGGAGGGGGTGCAATACACAAGGCAGACGGAAGAACAATTAGGTTTGCATGGGCTAAGTGGGACAGAGGTAAATGATATATGCACAACCTTGGAACAACAGGGCTCTGGGATACAGGGATTGAGGCATGGTTAGAGTGGACAAAGTCGGGGCAAACAATGTTAAGATGCTTGGCCGTCTTTTAAATCTTGGTTTCCCTTGCATACCATTATAAAGTGGACACTTGACGGGAGAGAAAGGAATGGCCAAAAATACCACCATAGAAAGCTTGTAAGTCTGTCTGTGCCTAAAACTTACTGGAATACCTAAAATGGGGCTACAGCATGCCAGTGAAGGAGGCTTCCTGCGGACCCTCTGCATTACATAAGACCATAGGTGGAATCCTGAACAGCATCCAGAATCTTCAGAGGTGGGAAATTTCCACTTGAAGGGTCAAGCAGACCAACCTGGAGCAGCCAGAAGAACAGAAGATAGTTCTTAAAAGAAAGGCCTACAGGAAAAATATAGAACAACGGCAGTCCGACTAAACAAGCAAGTTACCTGCCCAGGAGACATCAAGGCAAGTGGTCAGGTCCCCTCAGGACAAACCCCCTTCCAGACTAAGACTCAAGGGGAATACACGAGCAGACGTGCTCTGACTGGTGACCACGTTGGTCACTGAGAAGTGGAAGTGAGGGGTAAAAATGAAGCTGTGAGCTAAGTCCTACAGTGTTCAGTAGACTCCTGTGAATCCGGTTGAAACCTGACCTGGGGACTCCTGGGCCCAAAGTCAGTGACATAGCCATGGAGGACTAGAGTGGAGAGTGAAGTGTCCAGCTGATAATGTACAAGAACGCCCACACTTGGAGATAATACCCACTTTACCTGGCTTCAATGGCTGGATGATCAGAACTCAACTAGAAGAAAGAAGAGGGAAAAAAAGAGTAATCTGATACAATTAGGTGAACTTGACCTATACCTGTGGATGCAGTAACTCAGAAGAGGGAACAAGTCTTTACAGCAAGAATCATTCCCACCCCTTCCATACACAGAGTAGACAGGGATGGGCAACTTGGACATTGGCTACCCAAAGTGGGGGCAGGGGGGCTACCAAGGCAAGAAGTGACTGGCTTACAAGCTTTCAAGAGGGAATCTAGATCCAGAGGGTGTGAAGGAAGGTAGACTCTCCACTGAGTAGTATCCAGTCTGTCTAGGCGGGGCTGATGAAAGGAGATGCAGATAGGTCTCTTGTGATACAATAGTGAATAGTTGTTATCAGGACTGATTGTGAAGGTTGGAAATATAAAGGTCTATGTATTGTAGCAAGGAGAGGGGTGATTTAACTTTTCAGTCTAGGAGTGGAGGTCCCTAGGACCATCAAGGGAGAAGAGCGGAGTGCAGGACCCTACCCAGAGAAACAGTGACGCCAGAGATGGAGGCAGAGTCAATGACGTGGAGAGAGGGAGCAGCTGGGAACTCTAGACCCAGAAAGGGAGAGGGGCTGTGTGCTGACAAATGGGGGTGGGGGTGGGTGCAGGCTTGCAGGGTATACCCTTTGGTTGGTTGATGCATGGAGGGGATTGTAACCATGGCAATGAAATGATACAGGATAGGATGAATGTAAAACTAATGTTCTCCCATGTAATATCACATAATTAACAGTAAAGCATTTAAAAAAAAAAAAAAAGGATTCTGTGGCCAGGGTCAAGAAGAATGTTTCCTCTTTAGTCGGTTGTGGTTGCATGACTGTGATGTTGCTAAGTATTCTCAGGTCAGTTCTGACTCATGGTGGTGGTTAAGTCTCTTAGAGTCAGTTGCAACCATGTGTAGGGTTTCCTAGAAGCTGGTAAACTTGAACCTCCGGATCTTGCAGTTAAACTGATGGCAATCCAGCACATTAACCCACAGCGCCATGCCAGTACTCTAGCTGTGATGTTAAGAAGTTTAAGAATCACCTGGACAGGAAAATTTACGTCAGAAAAGGTATGAGAGGAAAGTGTATTCTCACATCCGGTTTAGAAATGGATGTTTACGCTGATAATTACCTTTCAAATCTTGACCAAATGCCCTCCTTTGTCATTGCCAGGAGGGCTTTCTTGACTTCCTAGACAAGGTTAGGTCCTGCTCTGTGTTTTTGGGGTACCTAGTGCTCTTTGGGGGGGCCCTGTGATAGTGGGTTCTGTGTCAGGCTGCTACGAAAATGTCAGCACTTCCATCCCAGGTGGAAAGATGGGGCATCTGTTTCCACAGAGATGTCCAGCCGGGAAACCCTGCAAGGCAGTTCTACTCTGCCCACAGGGTCACCATGAGTTGGAATTAACAATAGTAGATTTCTATATGATAGTACCCTGTACTTCTCTGAAAATATGAAATGTACTTATTAGAAGCATTTTTCAGCTACTTAGAATTTTATTGAATTTTTTTTTTCTTGAGAAGGCCTGTGTGCCTGAAAGAAAATAAAGCTTTAATTTTCTCTGAAATGAGAAAAGCAGTGGAGATATCCGTGGCCCTCCGTTTATTAATTGTTGTTGTATAGGGTTAATGAGGAGTGGCTAGAGGATTTGAACCAGTAACCTTGCTGTTCAAACTGACCTTTTGGTCCAGTGCTGATCCTACAGTGCCACCCCAGGACTCCCAGTTTACCAGTAGTGACGCTTGTCTACTTCTTACTTAGCTTATTAAAGTTAGACACCTCTCTCACAGTGGAATGTCCAATCTGTATGGCTGTAGAATATCATTCCTTATATAATCTGTTGTAAGATGCATACTCTGGAGAGGGGAAGGGGACATCATGTCAGTTCTGACTCAGCCACCCTGAATAGGGTTTCTGAGACTAAGTTTTTATGGAAGCAGAGAGCCTCATCTTTATCCCGCGAAGTGGCTGGTAGATTCGAACTGCTGACCTTGCAGTTAGCAGCCCCAAGTGTAACCCACTATACTACTAAGGGTACCTTACGTATACATTAGTCATACTGCAAACATTTAACTCAATTGTCAACCAGTGTACTGTGACAAAAGGTTTAAAGCAATTCCTGTTTGAAGTTAACTGCAGTTGGTAGCTAAATATCCACAAAGATCAAAACTTACTGTAACTATAGCTGGTAATGACTATGTTGTCCATGTTTTGGGAAGCTTAGTTGCACCATTATCATTTTTGTGATCATTATATATTGAATTTTTTAAAGTGTAATAAGAGTGTAAAATTCTTGGTGAAATTGGGGAATGTTTGTTGAGTAACTCAAGTTTTGTTTTAACAAACAAATGGCTAATTTTTGTGGGTTCTTTGAGGACACAATAAGTTGACGAAACAAATTGGCTAATTCTTGTGGATTCTCTTAGGACACAGTAAACTCCAGGTAGATCCAAGATAATGTGTTTCAAAAAACACACACAAACAAGTTGGCCGAGTAGGCAGCCACACTGCTGAGACCCTCTACAACGAGGCTACGAAGAGGCCTAATGGAACAGTAATTACCAACAGTTCTGGAACCCTGAGCTTCAGA